GTTTATACATATCCATATTTATATTTTAGATATTTTTCATAATTTTATTTAAACATTTACTAATATTTATTTATGATTCTAATTAGTAAAATTATACCAAGTAAAAAAATTATGTACTATATAAAACTCTTATGAAATAAATTATAAAATACATATACATAATATATATATTATATATATATATATATATATATATATTATATATATATATATATATATATATATATATATATATCATACTCTAATAAAAGAGTACCTTAATTGCCACATGACATCTCCTCAAGCCCTTCTACGTTTTTTTCCCGCCTATTTTACAATCAAGTTAATTTACGAATATACCCTCCTATTTCTTCAAAATCGGAATTCCAGTTCTCCTTAAATCTCGCAATCTTGATTTCTTCCGTATATCGTTCCATTTCCATTATTGATTGAATTATCAAGCTTACATTGTATTCGTAAATCTCACAGACACATAGAAGACGAAAATAGGGTTGGAGCATATTCGTGATTGAGGTGCGATTTACACGTTCTTGATTTTTCTGTTTCTTTTGTTTTAGATTAAATTCTGATGTAAGATTAAGGCATGTGTCATCTGATACGTTCAATGTTGGATTTGGGAGAAGTAAGGCTATGGTTTTATTGTTACAGACTTACAGGTTTGATTTGGGTTTTTGTAACCACCGTATCTCCTATACCCTAAGATTTAACAGGTGCGGTTTTTTTATTTGCGATGGGGTATATGGTTCAAGGAATCTCCAATAATGTCTTTACTCTAAAGATTTCGTTCACATAAATGTAGTGTTCGTTCACATATATGTAGTGTGTATCTCTTTGCTGGAAATTAAAAAAAGGTAAGAGAAACATTTGATTCGACCTAAATAGAATTGATATTGTAAGCTTAGGTATTGATGGTACCGGTGGTTTTCCAGTGATCCAGTTTCTCCAAAGAGGATTCAGATCCATATGGTTTTGGGCTTCAAAATACTTCGACTTGGTTGGATATGGGGCCTCCTATCAGTCTGTGGAAATTTTTCTCCAGGTATATATCAATTATAAGCAATCATTTGGGTTATTCTACATATAATCAAAGTTTCTTTTATTTTTCAGCCGGAGCTGCTAGAAAATGTGAAAGTTTAGAAGGGGAAAAGGGTTCATTATTCCCTAAAAATTCTGACTTGAGGTATGAGTTCCAATTGACTGAGTGGGTAGATGGGTTGATGGGGGAGTATGAATAAATGCATTTCTTTAATAATTTTATGTGATGGTTTCTATACTTTTTTCTGGAATGAATTATAAGGGGATAAAACGTGAAGAGGTTGTTGTCGTATACTATACGTATGCCAATATCTTTTATTTGGGTTCACGAAGAGATAGATGTGGCTGCAAGCCAACTAATGATGATATCAAAAGATGATTTTTGCTAGAATTCAACATAGCTGTCAGTTCATTTATTTATTACATTGTTGAACTTTCAAATTTTGTGAACAAGACATGTACTTTGGAAATTTTACCAATATAGCACTACAGTTTAATTTCTTTTCCTAATTAAACATTATACTTCAGAAAATATGTTCAACCATAACACTGATAATAGCTTTTTACTTTTATGACTTTGTTATAATTGGATAAAAATTTCAATGTACAATACCTAAATAGGTGGAAATAGAAGTAGAATGCTATAACAAACAAATAAATGCAAGTATGTTGCTATTTCTTGCATTTTAACCTCACATGTTATGCTTTACTGTTTGGATTTGTTAGGATTTTCATGTATTATCTATTTTTTGCATTTTACCATTTTTTTCTGTGTCACAGGTTTAAGACTATATCGCCCCAATCTAATTCTAAAGCATTTTGCTCCTTACATATTTATAATTCTTTCTTCTTTATAAGGTGTTTTAAGTTACCTTAATTATACATGTTCTCCACATTAGCATACTTACATTGACATTCCTAAAAAAAAATTTAGTAGAAGGTTAGATGGAAGGCTGGTAAGCATCTGTCTGGCACAATAGCAAGCTTTAGGTAGGTCTCTATATTACAAGTTATGGTAAACATTTACAATTTCCTTACTTTATTTTTGGAGTGATGACCATTTTATGATGGCTGATGTCGGCTTTTGGATATTGCAGGACAATCAACTTAACCACTTACCGGATACAGCTCAATTAATATGTTCAACATAATATGTATACTATAAATGACATATTTTTTTTTAATGAAATTTATGTACTAAGGTTCTACAACTCTAGGAAAGTGAAGAAACCACTTCTATCCTATGGGCAAAATGACTAACAAAGTACTACAAGATAATAAATGGTAACCAAGTCTTGAGGCTCTCACTTCTTCTACGCCTCAAGCCCCTCATTAGCCCCTTTAAGCGTATTCTTTTTTTTCAAAAAATATCAAATAATTTCTAACTCTAAAAAAAGTTATAAATAGAAACTAAGTTATCACACCTGTACTAAAATTAAGAAAAGTTAATTTTGTAACACGGAAGTTATCAAATTCATATTTTTATATTCATAGTTTGTAACACATAAATTCCTAAATAGTTTTATTTTTTAATATGTTAACGTAAAAACATAAAACAAAAATCTTACTACATAAGGACAAATTTATAAAAATAACAAAAAAAAAGCGATGTTGCTTGTCCAAAGTGAGAAACCAAAATGCTTAGGTTTGATTTTCGTTTTATTTAAAACCGAATCAAACCAAACTATATTTTTTGTTATTTTATTTTGTTTATTACTTTAAGTATTCATTAATTTTTCATTTCAGTTAGATCGTCCTGTAAAATATCTTTTTAGAAATTCTTGAATAATTTCTGAAACATTAGGTTTTTATTCATGGTTGGTGTTATGTTACCTTTAGGAAAATAAAAATAGAAAATTATTAAAAATATTAATTACAAATAAGGATGGTAGATTTATCACAAATGTTGTATGCAAAGAAGTGTCTACAAATTTCCAATGTTGTATGCATAGAAGTATCTGCAATTTATTTCTATTAAAACACTATAGTTTTAGATTTTATTTATTTATTAATTTATTAAGGCATTATATTTTGAAAAAACAACCAAACCGTATCATCCTAATTATCATTTTTAACATAAAATAACAATGTAATAAGTTTTGTAAACCGAAAAAACCAACATAGTTTTCATTTCCAAAGAAAAATATTTTCATGATTATATCAAATATACTTACTTACAAAACCTAAATTGGATATTAATTACGGTGTATATATTTATTTTAAAACAAAACTATAAACTTACTGGTAAAACTTTTACATTTGTAATTAATAATTTTTGCAAATATTTAATTAGACAATAAGATTTCGAAATTATGAATAGTTTTTTTTCTAACCGTGGTTTCCACGGGTTTAAACCTAGTGTGTGTGTATATAGATATATAGATATAGATATATATATATATATATAGATATATATATATAATATATATATATATATATATATATATATATATACTAGTAGTGGACCCACGCGATGCGCCGACGGCGATTTGTTTTAGTCCGGCGATTAGTTTCCAAACTAAAATTAGTGTTATTTCATCACCCATCACATTTTGTTTTTCCATGCACTCAATTAGTTTTCGAACTGTTTCAAAACCCTCAAAATCTCTAATTGAAACGAACATTCATTTTCAATTTTCTATAATCAAATCAAAACCAATATAAGAAAAAACTTTATGTTAGTGGTCATTTGGTTTCAAGTATATAGTTTTCTTTATTATAGTGTGGACCATTTAGTGCTTGTGTGAGGGAGGGGGAGGGGGGCTATTGGTGTCTTGATGTTATACTTTGACGATAAAAATAACAGAATTAGGATGATATAAAAGTTTATATCTTTTGAAAAAGATGTCTACATAAAAAAATAATTATGCTCATTACCATTTAGCTTCAAGTTTGTCTAAGCGTTCCAAGTCTCTTACATCTATCTTGATCTACAATAATAACCATTAATAAATGTGAAACAACAAGAATGAAGCATGTAAAACAATGGAGCCTGCAGTTACAACCAATTTTTAGAATATAATGTAGTTGAAAATTCTTGTAATTCGAACACTATGTAATATTGGTTTACTTGAGCAAATTAATATGTATTGTCTACAATATTTTTCATGCTAACCTAATTGCAAATAAATATGTATGGGCTACATTATTTTTCGATAGTTTTTAAGGTATAATCTTTTAAAAGTTAGTTGCCTTTTAAACCATCAAGAACAAAAATCAAATAAAATTAATAAAATTTTTAAATATTTTTTATAGTATGCTTATCGTTGTATATAAACTTCCACATAATGATTGGATAGCATTTTTTAAAATCTATATATTATCGTATATTGTATGATTTATATAAATATAATAAAATATGTAATTTAAAATGAGAAGCATATTTTATAATTCATTTCTCTCTCGTAGCTAAATATATTTTGAAACTTGCTTTCAAACAATATCTTTTGTGAATATGGTGTTTTGGGTTTTTGTGTACTTTCTTAAGAAAGATAACTTTCAGATTCAGTTCAAGTAATGACTTTTTTTGTAAAACTTAGTTCATATATTTTATTAAAATTTACAGTTTAACCAACTATTGAAATTTAACATTTACGAATTTTAGATGGCCACTTATCATTTTGATACATGTTTCATCGAATAAAATCCTAAAAAAAACATTTTTTTTACCATAAGTCTATTTTTATTCAAAATGTTAGTAATAAACAATTTGTATGCAAAATAATAATAATAAAAATAATAACTAGATTCCTAACCCCCGCTCCGGGGGGGGGGGGGGGCAGAGGGTATCAGAAAGTCATTACAAACATTGATAAGTGTAGAAGGCGATTAATATGCTTATAGGGTAGATAAAGACAGTAAGTTATAAGGATGAAAAGCTAATATTCATTAAGTGATAAAGCTTGTCGATTACAAAAGAGTCTGAATGACATTCGATTACAAAAAGTGTACGAAGGGTTTCTTGTTCATGGTGTGCGGTGGTCTTCAATGATTTTGTTGCAGATGTCTGTTGCCGCACTCATGTTGTCGTGCATGCTTTGGAAAATGTCCAGCATCAGCACAGTGTCCTTGTCGAGGTCGTTGATGAGCGATTCCGTGATGACAACATGTCTGTACGGCATTTCCTCAGGAGCTTCTTGTATCATTTTCTGTCTTGACTGGTTGATGCTGGTGAATGTGTTTTGGACCAAGGCTAACGACTCTTTCATTGTTTCCAGCTGGTTCTACAGTTTCTGCATAATGGCTTACATATTTTGTGTGTTGTGTTTGTTGGTGAAGCCGATGAGTTTGCTGTGGGATTTTATAATGGAGTATTGTGGTTGTTGGATGGTATTAATTAGGGACAATTGATTACTATTCTGGGAAGTAATGGATATAGGGTGGCTGTTGTGACGTTTTTTTTCCTTTAATTGATAGATGTGATTGTTGGGTTTGTGTGTGGTATTCAATTAGCAATATCTGCCCAAATCTTTGACTGCATGGGGTCAATTTTAGTAACTTACCATTAATTGAGTACATTTCTTTTGGTACTTACATTTGTGTTGATTGGTATGTCAGAGAGCATATATCTGTGTATTATTATCTGTTTCAATTGTTTATTATTGATGTGGAACAAATATAAAATTGATACTATTAGACAATGAAATTAGTAAACTTAAGTTATTTAAATTATATATTTGAAATAGATAGTGGCTGTTTTGTATCTGTAACGGATAGAAAGCGAACAACAATTACTGGTGCTGGGATTTAGGATTCACTTTTCTCATTTCTTTGTTCAGGTTTAAATAGAATAATATTTTGTAACAATTTGTTTTTCTTACAGGGTATATTTGTCTTTTTGTCCAAAGTTGTTTTTAGGTCGGGAATAATTGTATTGTTGTATATAAGTGAGTTATTAATTAATAGAGGAAGGAAATTAATTTTTTCTTCTAGGACAAGCATGCAAACAGTGTGACTAATTATAGTTTCGGATAGCAGGATGTTTTGATGGAGTGTTTATACATAGGATACTTGTTTATCACATTTGTTACAAAACGATAATGATATCATTCGAAACAAAACATGGGGTTGAAAGTGTAACTTTGTGGTATTTACTATTTGCTGCTCCGTTTTTGATTTTTTGCTGTTGTGGGCCTATGATAGGTGAATTGGAAAAGTGTTACCATTCATTGTGGATAATAATTTTTTTTATCTTAGTTATTGGTAGATTGGGTTATTACCTGGTGGACTGAAGGTGAGAGCACGTGCGATGGATTGAGGAGTTCTGTCTTCTTCAGTTGATGTGTTATCTTTTCGCATTCTTGTCATCCGTGATAGGGCTGGTGTTGTCGGAACAGGTGGCTCTGGTGTTGTTGTTGGGTCATGGATGTCAGTTGATGTGTTATCTTTTCGTTTTATTTAAAACCGAATCAAACCAAACTATATTTTTTGTTATTTTATTTTGTTTATTACTTTAAGTATTCATTAATTTTTCATTTCAGTTAGATCGTCCTGTAAAATATCTCTTTAGAAATTCTTGAATAATTTCTGAAACATTAGGTTTTTATTCATGGTTGGTGTTATGTTACCTTTAGGAAAATAAAAATAGAAAATTATTAAAAATATTAATTACAAATAAGGATGGTAGATTTATCACAAATGTTGTATGCAAAGAAGTGTCTACAAATTTCCAATGTTGTATGCATAGAAGTATCTGCAATTTATTTTATTAAAACACTATAGTTTTAGATTTTATTTATTATTAATTTATTAAGGCATTATATTTTGAAAAACAACCAAACCGTATCATCCTAATTATCATTTTTAACATAAAATAACAATGTAATAAGTTTTGTAAACCGAAAAAACCAACATAGTTTTTCATTTCCAAAGAAAAATTTTCATGATTATATCAAATATACTTACTTACAAAACCTAAATTGGATATTAATTACGGTGTATATATTTATTTTAAAAAAAAACTATAAACTACTGGTAAACTTTTACATTTGTAATTAATAATTTTTGCAAATATTTAATTAGACAATAAGATTTCGAAATTATGAATAGTTTTTTTTCCAACCGTGGTTTCCACGGGTTTTTAAACCTAGTGTGTGTGTATATATATATATATATATAGATATATTATATATATATATATATATATATATATATATATATATATATATACTAGTAGTGGACCCACGCGATGCGCCGACGGCGATTTGTTTTAGTCCGGCGATTAGTTTCCAAACTAAAATTAGTGTTATTTCATCACCCATCACATTTTGTTTTTCCATGCACTCAATTAGTTTTCGAACTGTTTCAAAACCCTCAAAATCTCTAATTGAAACGAACATTCATTTTCAATTTTCTATAATCAAATCAAAACCAACATAAGAAAAAACTTTATGTTAGTGGTCATTTGTTTTCAAGTATATAGTTTTCTTTATTATAGTGTGGACCATTTAGTGCTTGTGTGAGGGAGGGGAAGGGGGGCTATTAGTGTCTTGATGTTATACTTGGACGATAAAAATAATAGAATTAGGATGATATAAAAGTTTATATCTTTTGAAAAAGATGTCTACATAAAAAAAATACTTATGCTCATTACCATTTAGCTTCAGGTTTGTTTAAGCATTCCATGTCTCTTACATCTATCTTGATCTACAATAATAACCATTGATAAATGTGAAACAACAAGAATGAAGCATGTAAAACAATGAGCATGTAAAACAATGGAGCCTGCAGTTACAACCAATTTTTAGAATATAGTGTAGTTGGAATTCTTGTAATTCGAACACTATGTAATATTGGTTTACTTGTGCAAATTAATATGTATTGTCTACATTATTTTTCATGTTAACCTAATTGCAAATCAATATGTGTGGGCTACATTATTTTTCGATAGTTTTTAAGGTATAATCTTTTAAAAGTTAGTTGCCTTTTAAACCATCAAGAACAAAAATCAAATAAAATTAATAAAATTTTTAAATAATTTTTGTAGTATGCTTATTGTTGTATATAAACTTCCACATAACGATTGGATAACATTTTTTAAAATCTATATATTATTGTATATTGTATGATTTATATAAATATAATAAAATATGTAATTTGAAATACAAAGCATATTTTATAATTCATTTCTCTCTCGTAGCTAAATATATTTTGAAACTTGCTTTCAAACAATATCTTTTGTGAATATGGTGTTTTGGGTTTTTGTGTACTTTCTTAAGAAGATAACTTTCAGATTCAGTTCAAGTAATGACTTTTTTTGTAAAAACTTAGTTCATATATTTTATTAAAATTACAGTTTAACCAACTATTGAAATTTAACATTTACGAATTTTAGATTGTCACTTATCATTTTGAAACATGTTTCATCGAATAAAATCCTCAAAAAACATTTTTTTACCATAAGTCTATTTTTATTCAAAATGTTAGTAATAAACAATTTGTATGCAAAAAATAATAATAATAATAATAATAATAATAATAATAATAATAATAATAATAATAAATAAATGACAAACATCACAAAGTAAGAAACACCATAATACTTTAGAGATTAATCTTGAAAACATAAACAAAAATATTAACTCCCATTAATATCTTCAGATTTTGATAAGTTTAGACAAAATTATGCTAAATAAATCATTAAAAGTCACAATGTATATTTCAAGATCTAGAAACTTAAAAAAAAAAATAATAATAAAATAAGTAATAAGTTATTTCTTGTACAACTTTAATACACATCACAAATTTGTTCAAGAAAGAGGATGGCGCCGACAAATCTGATTCTGAATGCTCATTTTTCATGCCAATCAAAAGTCCAATCTTTTATCTGACTGGTCCAACTGTAAAAACAACAAAATAGAAAGATGTCAATAGCCTTCAAAGGTGTAACATGGTTGCCCGTAAAAGCATAAAAACATATGTGTGGAGATCGAATCTTTTTTATTTAGGTCGCATTGGTTTTTCTAAAGTTAGTTGAGTCTAAAACTCATCACCTTGCTCATTATAATGAGATGGTGGATTTGGATTCATGCTTTACAATATGCATCTCTCAATATATCCAGATATTGCAATATCCAAGCAAGGATCTCAAATTTAACCAAAGCATCAGAAAACAAAACCAAACGAAAAAAACAGGGATATATATCTATACTATGAAATTTAGTGAAAAGATGGAAGATATCCATATATCGAGAAAAAAAAAAAGCAAATAACCCATAATCATAATTTCATTTCTCATTAACATGTTTCTTTTAGCTTTATACAAGAATGAATAATCAGAAACTCATTCTCTTTTATATACAGAAAACAAAAAGAAAAAAGGCAGCATATATGCATCATCTCTGGAAGACGGGAGAGACCAATGAGAAATCAGACTCAGCTTAATGTTGGGGCTTTGATGAGCCGTTATCTTCAATATTTGATGGTTGCAGAGAAAGTTTACACGTTTGTAGTGATAGTAGACGGTGGATGGGATAAAAGCAATTATAATAAGCTGTTTTGTGTATACAGTATATTAAGATGAATAGGTCCTGCAGTCTGAAACATTGACCAATGAGATTGAGTCACGCGGATCGTCAAATTTGGTCTTTATTAATAAAAACAAGGAGGGAAAGATGTTGATTTTTTTTCAAATTAAATTATATAAAAAAATGATGGGGAACAACTGTATCCCACGTTTTCAATGCATAGAGGAGATACCAGCCATGATTTCAATAAAGTTGTTGTATTTTACGCAAAAAATGTTGTACCTCTTAATTTAAGATATAGGCTTTATATTATTGTATATTGTGCTTGATAAGTTGTATTTAAGACATTGATTATATATGTATTATAGATAGTATAAATAACATCACTATCATATTTCTTTCTACCACAAAAAAGAGTAAGTTCTTTCACTTTTCAAGGTTATCAAGATCAAAATGATTCATCCAGTTGCGATTCTCGCAACTATAATGACCATAGCACTGAGCTTCTTATTTTTCAATCTCACGTCAGATGTATTTTATCCTAATCTATTTTATTCTTTCTTAGTCTTGTATGAGATGTTTCTTCTCTCGCTTCTGTTTTGTGCAATACATATTGAAATAAATGGATTTTAATTTTCATCTTGTTATTTTGTTTAAATTTATAGTTACAATATGTCCAACATTGCAAAGCTTGAGTTTGCAGTACTTGAAGTTAGTGGGAAAAACTATGTGTCATGGATGATAGATATAAAAATGCATCTTGAGTCCATGAGAATCTCAAATGCTATATATGAATTTAATAATTGTTTGGCACAAGACAAGGAGAAAGCACAAGTTTTCCTTCGTAAGCATATTGATGAAATGTTGAGATTTGAATATCTTGCTATCCCGATCCAGTATTCTCTGGAATCTCTTGAAAGAAAGATTTGATCATTAAA